GATCATGTGATACTGAAGACTGGAGTAATGATGCTGAAAATTCAGCTTTGCATCACGGGAATAAACGAGATTTTAATGTATATTAAAATAGAAAATCTTTATTTTACATCATAATAATATTTCAAAATATTACATTTTTTTCCTGTATTTTTGATCAAATAAATGCAGCCTTGATGAGCATAAGAAACTCCTGTAAAAAACATTAAAAATCGTTCTGATCCCAAACTTTTGACCGGTAGTGTACATTAGATGAGTTTATTGTTATATTCTGACCTTTGTATCACGCAGTATTTGAACACAGTCTGGGATCTTAAATTCAGGAGCTGTGACTGGCTCTTTCTGACCCAACTCCACAGAGTCCAGAGCAACTTTAAATGGAACCTCATCCAGACTACACATTCTGCGGACATGCACAAACAATTTAAGTTAATACTATTTCTGTAAATCAGTATCAGAGTAGCTCTGTAGTTAATATATACCCATGTAAATGTATTTCTGTTGTTTATATCTCTGTAGATGGCAAATTCCATGAATATGGTACACTCTGGTGTCACATGACTGTTTTTTTAAAGCATAAAACCGCGTTTATAATTTGAATGAGCTTTCTTATGTTTTAAGTTTTCGTTTTAATCCGTTCATTTTTTATTCATTTTGTTTTATTTTTTTTGTAATGTTAGTTTTCTGCTTAAATTCATATTCCTTTAAATTAAGTTTTCATCTGATATTTATAAGTCATTTAATTTCAGCATTATTTCAATTAACAAAACATTTTGAATAGTTTTGCTTACAATAATAACCCTGGCATAAACATCCTAAGTTTTTTTTTTTTTTTTACACTACATATGTTTGATGAACTATTGTGGAAATAAAATTAACCTAGCATGAAAAGGTGTTAGCTTTGAACTTAGTAAATGCATCTCAAAGGCCTTGACTTTCTTGAATGTACAATTCAAAAATCACAATAATACTATTAATCACTTCATTGAATGAATGAAAAATAAAAAACATATAATCATGTATTATGCATGTAATATAATCACATTTCTAATAACATTTAAATATTTTGCATGCAATCAAGTATAACTGTAAATTGATTTTTCTCTATATTAGTATAGATTACAGGTCATTAAGGTTTCTTACCTGTAGTTTTTGGTAGTGTCTCTGCGCTGATCTGAGCTATATGCGTATTGTTCCTCGGCTGCACAGTGACTGTGTGCACTAATCAGCTTCACGTGTGCGTAATAACAGAAGCATAATATCCCCATGTGAATCAACACAGGCTTACACACAAACAAACAAGCACTATCAGGCTTATACACTGACTCACACAATAATCCTTTCATATCCTGTCGGAACAAACACACACATCATCATGTTCCTTTCCATTTCTCACATGACAGTAAGGTGCTGAAAATACTAAGAGGTTTTAAACTCCTAGAGATACCGTGAACCGTGATGCTGACTGTGTAATAATACGCTATCAGATGCATGAACATTCTCAGTGCGTTATTGCTATTAGTTTGAAGGCGTAGTGTCTGTTTACTCGCTGTGAATCTGAAAAAGGCTGAGACATCAGGAAATGACACAGCAGGCGCTATCAGACATAACACACAGTGTTGGGCCATATTGCATAAGCAGTGATGATTTGTGTGGTTTATGGCGCACTCTAGAGGACCTAAAATAAAACAGCTTTTTGTCTGAATTGTCTTTTTCCCTGTGTATACATCTCGCAATTCTTCAAAGTCAGTGTTAAAAAAAAGTAGTGCTTCTATTAAAACACACAAACAAGTCTTGTTTAAAAACATATTCATAGTTTTATTATGAGCAGTCAACTCAGTAATGTAGAGCTAAATACCATGAGAAATGCAGTTGTAGGTAAAAGCAGTTTTGTAAAATCATCACTGGCAATAAACATTTAGTAAATAACAGTAAATACATGATTTCAGTGAAATGATGTGAAAGAAACTGATAAATTGATGGTGGGTGAGCAAAAACACACACATTCTTCAGGTTACAGACATCTGCTGATACTTTCACTCTCTCAAGTTCTCTCTGTGACAGAATCTGTCGGAACAAACACACACATCATCATGTTCCTTTCCATTTCTCACATGACAGTAAGGTGCTGAAAATACTAAGAGGTTTTAAACTCCTAGAGATACCGTGAACCGTGATGCTGACTGTGTAATAATACGCTATCAGATGCATGAACATTCTCAGTGCGTTATTGCTATTAGTTTGAAGGCGTAGTGTCTGTTTACTCGCTGTGAATCTGAAAAAGGCTGAGACATCAGGAAATGACACAGCAGGCGCTATCAGACATAACACACAGTGTTGGGCCATATTGCATAAGCAGTGATGATTTGTGTGGTTTATGGCGCACTCTAGAGGACCTAAAATAAAACAGCTTTTTGTCTGAATTGTCTTTTTCCCTGTGTATACATCTCGCAATTCTTCAAAGTCAGTGTTAAAAAAAAGTAGTGCTTCTATTAAAACACACAAACAAGTCTTGTTTAAAAACATATTCATAGTTTTATTATGAGCAGTTAACTCAGTAATGTAGAGCTAAATACCATGAGAAATGCAGTTGTAGGTAAAAGCAGTTTTGTAAAATCATCACTGGCAATAAACATTTAGTAAATAACAGTAAATACATGATTTCAGTGAAATGATGTGAAAGAAACTGATAAATTGATGGTGGGTGAGCAAAAACACACACATTCTTCAGGTTACAGACATCTGCTGATACTTTCACTCTCTCAAGTTCTCTCTGTGACAGAATCGTGCCTGTACTGCTAAGATGAATTTAAACTACACTCAAATTATTATATGGAGAGCCAAAGTACTGCTGAAGAACCAAACTGCATTTGTTTTAGGTACATAAGGACACTTTCTATAAGAGGGAGAGTATTAATATCTTCTCTTTGACTATGCAAAATGTAAAAATATGTTTTGTTCTTTGTGGTTCGGAGTGTTTAGTCTTTGGTAAACTTTACAGTGCTCTTGTTGTGGTTGAAAAATATCCAATCTGTACTCTCGAACTAATCTGTACGATATATCAGGATCTGATAAAAACATATTTGAGTGAAATGACTGATGAAAGATGACGTTTTTGCCTCTTTCCATAAATCTCTCTCTCTCTCTCTATATATATATATATATATATACACACAGACACTTATAAAGTAAGGCATGTTAGACTTAAATTCATTTTTCAGTGACTTAACGTAACCACTGGAGAACCCTTAATTTGACGTCCCTCACACAAACTCTAATATGTGATGATTATATAATAGCTATCCAATTGTTTCATGAGCTTCTGGAATCATAAATCATGATGCAGCTGATGTCGGATCAGTGGTTTCCTGCTGATATACACGAGTCCCTACAGCAGAATAAAAAGCGTAACTAAACACACCGGGAGAAAACCTACAACACACGCACACATACACACAAGTCATGCAGTTTCACTTGTTTATAAAAGCAGTTCTATAAATGTGCCATTATCTGTGGAGTTAAATATGACTTCACTTAAGTCACTTTTCTTCCTGTAAACGGTTCGTTCGGACTCTCTGCATGGTATTAAATGTAAACCAAACCCAAACACATTCACGAACAAAGTCAAACGGTTTCCTCAACAAACAAAAAAAAATCACACGTCTGTACAGCGCATATGTCTAGACGTCCCAGCTTCATTGGCGTGTTTGGCTGCGATTAGATAAGCACGCCCTGTGGCTGCTGCAGGATCTTGATCACTCTGCTGAGAGATTCGGTGGTGGCAAAGGCCAGATACTGACAGCACAACCAGTCCTCCAGACTCACGCCGCAGCCAGTGTCCAAAGAACGCTCAGCGAACTTGATCATCATAAGTGTTCGCTTCAGGTCCAGCCAGTTCTGCAGGACGGTGTGGCGTTGGACTGTCCCGGAGGGGGGGTTCAGCAAATTGAACAGATCCTCTCGGGGGCCCCACAGCAAACACTGCAAACACGCCCGGGCGTCCGCCATCTGGATGCGCTCGGAAGGGTTGGGATTGAGTAGCAACGTGGCAAGCTGTTGAAGGCCATTGGAGTACAGGGATCGCAGGGGTAGCTGGGGCAAGTCAGAGCTGCAGTATTCCCTCTCCTTTAGCTCTGGACTTTCCTCGAATGGGTTCGGTCGATGCAGCATCTCATAGATCAGTATGCCGGTCTGGAATTCGTCGCACTTGCGGTATTGAGTGGCAGTGAGGAGCTCAGGTGCCAGACGGGACTGGTCTCGGAGCGAAGCGGGTTCCAGCACCACATTCTTGAGTTTGGCCTGAGAGAAGTTGCTGATGATGAGGCGGGCAGGGCAAGCGGAAGCTGCGGTGGAGGAAGCTCCGGATGCAGCGTTGTTGTTTGGTTCCAGCAGCTCCAGGTTCCAAGGGTTCCCGGGCTGACAGTGCACCAGGAGGAGGTTCTCGAGCCGCAGGTCACAGTGCGTGACGTGGTAGGGTTTCATATGCTCTAGTCCTACACACAGCTGCAGCAGCAGCAGACACACCTGGCGTTCGTACAGCTCAGGGTTTCGCGCGTGCCTCTCCACACCCTCCCGTACAAAATCTGCCACCGTCTGGAACGGCACCTCTCGAGTGATCACCACAACACGGCTGCAGAGTTTCCCGCCCGGACCTGCCGCATCTCTCTCACCCTCCTTTCCTTTTCCCTCTTCTCCTCCTTCTGTACCGCCTTGCTTGTCTTCTCCATCCTCCTCTCGCTCCCAGGGCAGCAGGCGGGCCGGAACGTCTGCCAGGAAGTGCCCACAGTCCTGCTGGATGTTGAAGTGAACAGCGATACTCTGCCGAACTGCTAGGCTGTGAAAAAACTGCTGCTGAGTCTCCTTCACCACACCCCGACAGATCTGAGATCAGACAGAAAGAGAATGTTATTCTCTGCAAATACCTGCAAGTCTGAGCTGACTACCTAGGCAAAATTTTGAAGTATCAAAGGAACGCTGCCAACACAAAGGCTGGGAAAATACGAGTAATGCTTGCCCTTCTTAGTCAGAGGGTTACTTTAAGGTTGATTAGAGGTTTAATCCTTATTGATATGAGCAACGATAATAGGAATTATCGATAAAAGCCTTGAAGGCAGCATAATTAGTAGCCGTCTGGAACGGCACCTCTCGAGTGATCACCACAACACGGCTGCAGAGTTTCCCGCCCGGACCTGCCGCATCTCTCTCACCCTCCTTTCCTTTTCCCTCTTCTCCTCCTTCTGTACCGCCTTGCTTGTCTTCTCCATCCTCCTCTCGCTCCCAGGGCAGCAGGCGGGCCGGAACGTCTGCCAGGAAGTGCCCACAGTCCTGCTGGATGTTGAAGTGAACAGCGATACTCTGCCGAACTGCTAGGCTGTGAAAAAACTGCTGCTGAGTCTCCTTCACCACACCCCGACAGATCTGAGATCAGACAGAAAGAGAATGTTATTCTCTGCAAATACCTGCAAGTCTGAGCTGACTACCTAGGCAAAATTTTGAAGTATCAAAGGAACGCTGCCAACACAAAGGCTGGGAAAATACGAGTAATGCTTGCCCTTCTTAGTCAGAGGGTTACTTTAAGGTTGATTAGAGGTTTAATCCTTATTGATATGAGCAACGATAATAGGAATTATCGATAAAAGCCTTGAAGGCAGCATAATTAGTAGAGCTTGGTAAGATAGATAACTCAGTATGGGCAAGAAAGCACCGAATGTAGCCTTTGTGGATAATTTCATAATGCATTGTGACAATCTGTGGATAATTTCATAATGCAATGTGACAATCTCTGTCTGTACTAAGTAACAAGCCATTCGCTTAGCAACATGCTGCCATCAGACTCTATTGGAATCAACTGTTAGTCGAATCACTTTTGCTGTTCTTGCAAGAAGCAATGATTGTGAGTTGCATAAGTGACCATTACTTGACTTATGTAGACAGCTAATCAGCTTGTCCATATACATGCATCAATAAATATGTGTAAGACTGAACTTTCACCTTAACGGCGTAGTTTGTCAGAGGTTCTTTAGCGAAAGACGCTGTGTAGTACACAGCATCTCCTGCCTCGCAGCAGGGTTTTCCTGCAGTCAGCCGGAAATGAGACCAGCTGTCTGTTCCAAAGCGTAGATGATCTTTTTGTCCGGCCATAAATCGATCTTCACATCTGACTGCCAACTTGCGAAGGGTATCCGTGTGCAGGCCTCGGATCCTCCCGACCACTTCCTCCCAGCTCTCCATGCCTCTGTACGGCACTTGTTTCTGGGCTTTAGCGGGTCTCCCAACCCCTCGCGTCCGGGCTGTCAGACTCTCTGTACTTCGGAAGCCTCGGCGGTCGCATGCCTGCATGGAGCTGCTATTGGTTAGGCAAGACAGGCTC